GGGAGCGGGGCGGCGCCCCCGAGACCCCCGCCCCAAAGCCCCGGGGGGGCCCCAAGGCCAAGCCGACCCCCGCCCCCAAAGCCGAGCCCCCCACGGCCGCCCCCTGCCCGCAGCGCTGCCGCCGCGCCGGGACCCTGCAGAGCAACTTCTGCAGCAGCGACTTCGGTGAGAGACGCCCCAAAAACGGGGGGGAGACCCCGAAATGGGGCTGGGGGCTGGGGGGTGCCCAGAACTGTGGGGGGAAACTGAGGCAGGGAGTCTGGAGAATCCCCCAGAACTGACAGGGGAAACTGAGGCAGGGAGCGCCCAGACTGTGGGGGGAAACTGAGGCAGGGAGTGCTGGAACTGTGGGGGGAAACTGAGGCAGGGAGCGCACAGAACCGTGAGGGGAAACTGAGGCAGGGAGTGCCAGAACCGTGAGGGAAAACTGAGGCACAGAGTGCCCAAACCATGAGGGGAAACTGAGGCCGGGAGTCTGGAGAATCCCCCAGAACTGACAGGGGAAACTGAGGCAGGGAGCGCCCAGACTGTGGGGGGAAACTGAGGCAGGGAGTGCTGGAACTGTGGGGGGAAACTGAGGCAGGGAGCGCACAGAACCGTGAGGGGAAACTGAGGCAGGGAGTGCCAGAACCGTGAGGGGAAACTGAGGCACAGAGTGCCCAAACCATGAGGGGAAACTGAGGCAGGCAGTGCCCAAACCATGAGGGGAAACTGAGGCAGGGAGTGCCAGAACCGTGAGGGGAAACTGAGGCAGGGAGTGCCCAGAACCGTGAGGGGAAACTGAGGCCGGGAGTCTGGAGAATTCCTGAAAACCAACAGGGGAAACTGAGGCAGGCAGCGCCCAAACCATGAGGAGAAGCTGCGGCCGGGAGTGCCCAAATCTGTGAGGGGAAACTGAGGCAGGGAGTGCCAGAACCGTGAGGGGAAACTGAGGCACAGAGTGCCCAAACCATGAGGGGAAACTGAGGCAGGGAGTGCCAGAACCGTGAGGGGAAACTGAGGCAGGGAGTGCCAGAACCGTGAGGGGAAACTGAGGCAGGGAGTGCCCAGAACCGTGAGGGGAAACTGAGGCCGGGAGTCTGGAGAATTCCTGAAAACCAACAGGGGAAACTGAGGCAGGCAGCGCCCAAACCATGAGGAGAAGCTGCGGCCGGGAGTGCCCAAATCTGTGAGGGGAAACTGAGGCAGGGAGTGCCAGAACCGTGAGGGGAAACTGAGGCACAGAGTGCCCAAACCATGAGGGGAAACTGAGGCAGGGAGTGCCAGAACCGTGAGCACACAGAACCGTGAGGGGAAACTGAGGCAGGCAGCGCCCAAATCTGTGATGGGAAACTAAGGCAGGGAGCACACAGAACCGTGAGGGGAAACTGAGGCAGGCAGCGCCCAAATCCGTGAGGGGAAACTGAGGCAGGCAGCGCCCAAACCATGAGGGGAAACTGAGGCCGGGAGTCTGGAGAATCCCCCAGAACTGACAGGGGAAACTGAGGCAGGGAGCGCCCAAATCTGTGAGGGGAAACTGAGGCCGGGAGCGCCCAAATCCGTGAGGGGAAACTGAGGCAGGCAGTGCCCAAACCATGAGGGGAAACTGAGGCCGGGAGCGCCCAAATCTGTGATGGGAAACTGAGGCAGGGAGCACACAGAACCGTGAGGGGAAACTGAGGCAGGCAGTGCCCAAATCTGTGAGGGGAAACTGAGGCAGGCAGCGCCCAAATCCGTGAGGGGAAGCTGCGGCCGGGAGCCCCAGGCGGGGCCGGGCCGGGCCCGTGAGGCCGGGCCGCCCAGAGCCCCTCTGGCGGCTCTGAGCCCGCCGCCGTACCTGCAGTGCTGAGCGGCGCGGTGAAGTCGCTGTCGCGGGGCCCGCCGCACGGGCCGGCCTGGGCCGCGCTCTCCGTGCTCGGCCTCTACAAGTGGCGGCCGCTCGGGGCCCCTCCGCCCGCCGCCGGCTCCTCGCTGCGGCTGCAGCTGCCCTGCCGCCTGTGCCCGGCGCTCAAGAGAGGTGCGTGTGCCCGGGGGGCGCCCGCGGGGCCCGGAGCGACCCTCCCGGCCTTGACGCCCCCTCCCCAAACTCCTTGCAGGCTCCAGCTACGTCCTGATGGGGCGGCTGGCGGCCGACGGGGCGGCGCTGCTGCCGCCCGACGCCTTCGTGGTGCCCTACCGCCCGCAGCAGCAGCAGAAGGTGCTGGAGAACCTCAGCAAGAGGCCGTGCCGGGGGACCCCCTGAGACCCCCGGAGAGAGACCCCCCCCGCCCCGCGCCGGCCCCCGCTCCTTCGCAAATAAAGGGTGCACAGATGGAGCGCGTGCGTGGAGGTTCTGGGGGGGAGAGGGTCCGAGAGCCGCATTCAAGGGGAGACCCCAAAATAGGGCACTCGAAATGCGGCCCCCAAAATGGGACCCCCGCCCCCATTTTTAAATGGTGCGGCTCCTTTAAGAAGGGACCGGGGCGTGGCCTCCAGGCTTTCCCTGCTTGTCAATCACTCCTGATTGGTGGAGGCGACACGCCCCCGGGCAAGCGTGGCGTTTTAATTATCCCGCTTTTGCGTCAAACGCGATTGGTTGGTTACATGTCAATCTCTCACGCTGCTCCCGCCTCCTCGATTTCCATTGGCTGACGGCACCAAAATATTCGCGGCCGTTGCCAGGCAACCAGCTCCCCGTTGTCGCTCGCGATTGGTGGAGATTGTGCTTTAGCTGTGATTGGCTGCAGTTGGGCAGCACCCCCCCGTTGCTTGACGACGATTGGTTCAACCTACCTATCAATCAAAGAGCTAACTTCCGCACTTCTCCTGGCAAAGCCCGCCACTCGCCCTGTCCGATTCGCCACCTCCCCGCGCGCCCCTACTTCTGATTGGCTGCCGCTCTGGCCCCGCCCCTGTGGCGGGGTCCGGAAGCGTCCGGCGCTCAGTCTGGCAGCGGCGTCCGCGGCGAGCGGAGCTCCGGGGCCGCCATGGCCGCGGGGGCGCTGGGGGCTGTCCCGGCTGAGCCGCCGCCGCCGCTGGGCCGCCTGCCCGGAGGAGCCGGCACTGAGCGCGCCCTGGAAGAAGCAGAGGCCTCCGGTACCCTCAGTCTGGCCGGCCGGCGGCTGCGCGCCTTCCCGGCGGCGGCGGCGCGGCGCTGGGACCTCAGCGACACCACACAGGCCGGTGAGGCCGCGGCGCCGGGGCAGGACCCCCGACCCTTCCCCACAGCCCGGGGTCCCGCGGGGTGCCTCCCCCCGCGCAGGGGAAGCCGCGGGTGCGCCGCCTCCCTCGGCGCGTCCCGGGGCCCGCGGGGGCTGCCGGAGGCGGCTGAGGAGGCGCCGGGACGGGGCGAGCCGGAGCGCCTGGTCCGGGCGGTCGGGCGGCTTCAGCTCCCCCGAGCTTCGGCCGGGCGGCTCGGGCTCCATCAGCAGCGCTGTCCCGGCGGCTCCTTTGTCCCCTGTCCTTATCAGTCCCCTTCCCTGAGGTTCCCTGTCCCCGGAGGTCTCTTGTCCCCGAGCATGCCCCGCGTTCCTCCAGACCTGTCCCGGAACCGTTTCGGCGAGGTGCCGGAGGCCGCCTGCCGCCTGGTCTCGCTGGAGGGGCTGAGCCTGCACCACAACTGCCTGCGCAGCGTCCCGCCGGCCATCGCCAACCTGCAGGCCCTGGCACACCTGGACCTCAGGTACGCTCCGGCCCCGCCGGAGCCACGGCGGAGCTCCGGCAGCGCGCCGTGACCCCGCCGTGTGCCCCGCAGCCGCAACCAGCTGAGCTCGCTGCCCGCCTGCCTGTGCCTGCTGCCCCTGCGCGTCCTCAACGCCAGCAACAACCGCCTGGCCGTGCTGCCGCCGAACCTGGGCGCCCTGCGCACGCTGCGGCAGCTGGTGAGCCTGGGCCGGGCTGCAGCCCCGCGGGGCCGCGCCGCGACCCCGCTGAGCCCCGTTCCGCCCCGCAGGATGTGGGCTCCAACCGGCTGCGGGCGCTGCCGCCGGGGCTGGGGCAGCTGCGGGCGCTGCGGGACCTCAACGTGCGGCGGAACCAGCTGGCGGCGCTGCCCGAGGGTGGGTGAGGGTCCTGGGGAGTGGGGGGCGTCCCCTGGATCCCGTGTGGATCCAGCGTGTCCGTGTCCCCCCCGCCAGAGCTCTCGGAGTTGCCGCTGGTCCGGCTGGATTTCTCCTGCAACCGGGTGGTGGCGATTCCGCGCTGCTTCCGGCGGCTCCGGCACCTGCAGACGCTGCTGGCGGACAACAACCCCCTGCAGTTCCCCCCCGCCCAGGTGAGGGGGGCCCCGGGGCGTCCCCCCGACCCCCCAAAACCCCCGGCTGAGCCCTCTGTGCCCCCCCAGGTCTGCCTGAAGGGCAAAGTCCACATCTTCAAGTACCTGGAAGCCGAGGCTGCCGCCCATCCTCCCCCCGCATGGTAACGGGGGGGGCTCGAGGAGGGGGCGCGCCGCTGTTTTTGGGGTGTTTCGGGGGGTCTCTGAGCGCTGTGTGCCCCCCGCAGCCCCCCGGACGAGCCGTGTCCCCTCCGGCAGCGGGGGGGGCTGGACTCCGGCTTCCACAGCGTCGACAGCGGCAGCAAGCGCTGGTCGGGGAACGAGGTGGGATTTGGGGGCAGTTTCGGGGGGCGCGGGGGGCAATTCGGGGTGTCCCCCCAGCCACTGTCCCCCCTTGGCACCGTTTCAGTCCACGGATGAGTCCTCGGAGCCGTCCCGGCAGCACAGGGAGGCGCGCGGCGGGGCAGGTGAGGGATGGGGGATCCCCAAAGCCCCCCGGGACCCCCCGGCACCTTCGGGGACCCCCCCGTCACCCCCCGTGTCCCCACAGCTGGTGACAGTGACCCGGAGCAGCTGGAGGAGGAGCCCTGGCCCGAGGTGATGTCCCCCCCCCCGGGGATTGGGAATGGGGCTGGGAATGGAGACAGGGACTGGGAATGGGGCTGGGAACTGGGGCAGGGGCAGGGACTGGGCAGGGTTTGGGTGCTGGGATGGGATCAGGAGCGGGGTGGGCCAGGGGACAAGGGCCGGGCACTGGCTGCTGCCCCCCCACAGGACCCCCCCCCGGAGACCCCCCCGGACGGCGGCGCTGCCGGTGAGGACGCGGCTGGCCTCGTCAGGCTCAGCCCTAATTAACACGGCTCTGCTGCCCCTTCGCCAGGCTCAGCCCTAATTAACGGGACTCTTAATTGCCCTGCCTCCCCCCAGGACCCCGACGGAGCCCCCGGCAGCCCCCCAGAACCCAGCGCCTGCCTCAGCCCTTCCTCCTCCTCCTCCTCCTCCTCCTGCAGTGCCACCAAGGCAGGTAGGACAGAGCCCCCCGTGTCCCCTCCCCAGAACTCCCCCGTGTCCCCTCCCCGGTGCCCCCCACCCCCTGACCCTCCAATGTCC